CAAAGAGCTACCAACATGGTCAAGTCAAACATAAAATGCGATGATTCCGTCCAGCCTACATTTTTCAAAATGACCAAAGGGAAAAAGGAATACAGGTACATCATCTTCAAAATTGAGAACAACCAAGTTGTCGTCGATAAAACTGGAGATCGTGACAAAACWTTCCAAGACATGATARAMGATCTTCCWACGATGAATGCTGCTCGATATGTCGTCTTCGACCTAACTTATCGCACCAAAAGTGAAAATCAGCTTCGAGAGAAGATCGTCTTTCTGAGTTACTGTCCTAGCAGTGCTGAAACAAGAGACAAAATGCTCCATGGAAGCACATATCTCGAGCTGAAGAACAAGCTTGGAAGTTCTTTTATTCGCTTGTCGAAGCAATACGATGATCTTGTTGACATAGATGAAGAAGATATCAAGGGTGACATGGCCACCAAATCATGGTAGACATTTTGTATAAAAGTGTGCATGCATGTAAGCTTGCAATATGAACACTTTCTTGCACACTAGAATATTACAGTAGAAATAATATAAGAACATTTGCAAAAAAAATTAACACAAAAATCTTAAAAGTAGTTTGCATATTATCATGTTCAAAGTATTGTGGTGCATCGCCACCATGTGTTAGACATTGTTTATAATATATACTTTATGATAACGTGTATTAAGGAAACCATTCAGTTTTTTTTATCTTAGCTTTATTGWTGTATTTTATATTTCACTAAACTTACACAAAACAACTTTTGATAATTACATGTAATGTGCCTRTAAAAAACATCAAATTTCACTAGAAATATTCACAAATGTGGCTATAAATACGCTTGTATTTGCTATAAYTATATTTGYTTTTATATAAATAATAAACACAGTTTATAAATATCAACAATATACTTTTTCCCGGGCCAGTTTCTATATTTGGTCATATGTCACGCTCTTTATTCATTCATCACTTAAAAGGAAAGAACTTAAATCTGAAAATTATATAAGGAATCAGATTTGGAAAAATAATGTAACTGTTTTATTTTAATATGAAGAAATATTTCATTGCTTTGCTCAAAACATAATAACGTGACGAAATGTAGGTCGCGTGACTTTCAATTTGATTGCGTTGCCTTGGCGACGTTCAAAGCTTCTTCTTTGTTTCGCGCTTCGAATAAGCGTTTTTAATTTTAAGTAAGGGTCACCTTACAAAATAACTTTTTTTAAAAAATTCTGAAAATTGGCATGAAGGAAGGCCCACTTGTACGTATTTCATCGCTATAAAGTTTTAGTTCGATCGGAATTTCATTATTTTGTGAGAACGGCGCCAAAAAGTAAAGTTCGACGTCATTTCCGGTTTTGAGACGATGTTTGATGATACTCMAAAAAGTCTTAAAAATTGCTTTGAAATCTGCATCTCTTGACAACTAAAATTACTAGACTAAAAGAGGATATGACTGCGCTTATTTTGAGCTCTTACAAATRACAATAGTTTAAAATCGTAATATTTTCTTGATTTTTCAATAGTGAGTACGAATTAACAAGGTTTAACGAACATAGCTGAACATCCAGTCCTATTCAATCGCATATATCTACACTTGTATATGGCTTAGCTCAAAACTATTGCCACACTTTGAAGAAATGCTCTTATATTTTTGCTTTATTAGATATAATTTTTGGGAAAATCATAAACAAAGGTCTGAGAGCACTTAATATCAAACCTTTTTATGGCCATTGATATGCACGGCGAGGCGTGTATTGCCTAACCAAAATCGTTSTATAAGCTTGGGATTTATAAATACATATCCTAAATATATAGTAAAATACTTTACTTACAATTTTAGCTGATTGGACCAAAGTGTTCTCTTTTGAAGCGACTTTTGTATCCACAATTTAAGCTTAGATGAACAACGGCGGTTATCCGGCAGCCCATCGCTAGAAACCACTCAGTTCCAGAAATGACAAATATCAATCCTCTAAGCTAATTTCACTAATGTTACAGATGTCCAAAGCATACTTTTCTTATCTTTCACCATTATTTCAACGTTTCAATGAAATATGCCTTCTTATAGAAAGTCTAAAGTAAAACTTATCCCGTACGGAAAATCAAATCAAAATGTTGGAGTGATTTACATTTGTAAAGTTTATGACACAGGAATTCCGCACACATTTTAATTAAAATTTAATGTTTTCATTCTTGAAAATAACTAATTTTTGAATGAGAAAAGATTTGCGGCTTGAATAAGAAATAAGACCTGTTTGATTCCGTTGTGTATTATATGTAATAAATAGGCACTCAACTGACCTACACCCAACTGATAGTAACTMGTGCCAGTCAGTGACTGGACATTAGGGACTGTGCAATAATTACCAGGAGGAGGGGGAGTTTCATTTTCGATGTGTCTCAAAACCGTGCTGGAAATCGCATTTCAAAGAGTTATTCCCTTCAAATTTTGATTATTTAGTTTTTGTTGGTGTAGCTCTGACTTTGATCCTGATATGATCCTGGATTTACAATATGTGAGAGGTAAGAGTATCGAAGTAATGAAAGACTATTAATCTAGCTAAAGGGTACACAAATTCAACCCTGTACCCCCCCCTTCCTTAAAATGAGCCATAAATTGAGGCACACCCCTTCCACTTCTAAAAAGTACAAGAAAGTGCTGTATATAAAAAGTGCTGTATATAAAAAGTGCTGTATATAAACTGATATCAGTTCTGACGTCCTTCAACATTGATGGTGTTAATATTTAAAAATATTTTGATCGTTTGAATCAATATAATCATTTCCATAAAAAGGTTTGAACTTGATTTCTCTCAGACCTCTGTTTATGATTTTCCCAAAAATCGTATTTGATAAAACAAAAATTTAGGAGCATTTTTTTCAACATATGGCAATAGTTTTGAGGTAAGCCATATACCAGTGTAGATATATGCGATTGAATAGGATGTTCAGTTATGTTCGTAAAACCTTGTTAATTTGTACTCACTATTGAAAAAACAATAAAATATTACGATTTTAAACTGTTGTTATTTGTAAGAGTTCAATACAAGCGCAGTCATATCCTCTTCTAGTCTTTTTAGACTTTTTGGAGTATCATCAAACAGCTTCTCAAAACCAGAAATGACGTCGAATTTCGSGCCGTTCTCACAAAATAAAATTCAGATCGAACTAAAACTTATATCGATGAAATACACACAAGTGGCGGCCTTCCTTCATGCCAATTTTGAGAATTTTGAAAAAAAATTATTTTGCAAACCATAGGTGACCTTTACTGCAAATCCCTCTCTGTTCAAAAAGTATTAAAGATTTTAGCAAAAAAAGATTTCAAATATTAACAGGGAATATTCTTTCTTAAACTAAGTCGGAAAAATTTAAATGAGTCCCATAAAAGGATGTTGACTTTTAAAAGCGTCTGAGTTTATTATGAAGACATTCATGATTATAGTCAAATACAAGCTTATACAAATAGCTATACATTTGTGAAATTTCTAGTGAATGATATTAGAACATGGGGTTATAATAAAGTGACTATGATATGCCTTGTTTAGTTTTAGATCAAAAAAAGATGTTTTAATACACAACATTACCTTTATTTAATTATCACAAATATATATAAAATCCGAGACTCGATGAATACAACAATAAAGATCAGAAGGAAAAAAAAATAAATGCTTAACTTAATACACATTGTCATAAAGTACTTCAATGTCTAACACAAAAGCAATAGGCAGTGGATCACAATATTTTCATGGATAATATAGGCCATATCAGTGCAAACTACTTTAAGTTTTTGTGGTAATTATCACTTTGCAAATGATCTAGTCTATACTGTAAAACTCTAAGGCAAGAAAATGTTCATTACATTACAAGCTCACATGCATGCACACATTTATACAAAGTCTACCCTTTGTTGGCCATTTCTTCCTTGATTTCTTCCTCGTTCATKTCACCAAGATCATCACATTGCTTCGACAAGTGGATGAACGAACTTCCAAGCTTTTCCTTCAGCTCTAGAGCTGTGCTTCCATGGAGCATTTTCTCTCTTGTTTCAGTACCGCTTGGACAATAACTCAGAAAGACGATCTTCTCTCGAAGCTGATTCTCACTTTTTGTGTGATAAGTTAGGTCGAAGACGACATATCGAGCAGCATCCTCGGCGGGAAGATCATTTATCATGTCTTGGAAAGTTTTGTCACGATCTCCAGTTTTATCGACGACAACTTGGTTGTTCTCAATTTTGAAGATGATGTACCTGTRTTCCTTTTTCCCTTTGGTCATTTTGAAAAATGTAGGCTGGACGGAATCATCGCATTTTATGTTTGACTTGACCATGTTGGTAGCTCTTTGAACGACGAGTTGGTAAGTTTTGGTTTGAACGCCTTGTCGCTTGATTGTTTGGCTCTCTGAATCTTCACTGCAAAGCGAGCTGAAACTCTGGTATATATAGCCGGCATAGCCATTATCATATGTATTTTTGTCGAATTATCTAACTGATTTTGCAACAACTTTATTCAAACAAAGAAAATCACTGATTTTTCATATATGCCCATCTTTGGGTATACGTATAAGCACACCGACTTTGCTCTCAATTATTCATGATGTCACGCGCACATATTCGTCACAAACGAAAACTAAACAAAAAATAAAAATGCGTTTCTAGCAAAAAAAAGAACACTGATCACTTATACAGACGGCTATAATATTCAAAAGAATTATCAAATAAAGAAAATCAATTCTTTTCTGCAGGCATTTGCTCTAGATTTAGATGTCTCGTGCCAGAAATATAACGGCAATCAATTTTGCATTTATTCAGGAAATGTATTTTCTCTTGTGAACTGAGTTTTTTAAGGAAATCACAAATCATCGCGTGGTAAAATGTTTAGTGTACCAGAGTACATAATTTATACTTCTTCACTATTCAGTCATGAACATGTGTATATCTTCTATAACGTATAACGAAAAGCGGCGGAATAATAATGCATTACAATATCGGCCGGTTTTACCAAATAAGAAATTTCCTTATAAGTACAAGAGCAGCTCAAAACAAGTTCATTTATTTGTTTTAATAACGTTAGGTCGTGATGAAAATGCTATTTGCATATGATCATGACTTTGAGAATTATTTTGAAGATTGTCAAAACGAGCTCGAGTTCATACCTTACTTGGTAACATCAAAAAACTTGACACACGAGGCAGGATGGTGTTTGTTTTGTATAACGCAAATTGGCCACGCGGTCCTACAAAATCAAATTTTGATATTTCAGCAGGTTTTTCATGCAATTTTAAGAAAAGAGGGCACATATAGAGGATATTACATGGGCGCGTGGCCGAGATACGGATTTTTTTTCGAGAGTTCAAAAGGTCTCTAACAAGTGAGCGTAGATTTTCAACACGCGAATATCGTATCTCCAAGCAACAAGGTAATATTCTCTTTATCATATAATAAAAACAAAAAAATATCTACTGAATACCTATATTTCTCTCTTTCGAAGAGTTGTTATTTTCACTAGTGATTTTATCTTCTCGTGTTGARGATCTTTTCAATACTCGAAGATTAAATCCGTAACCGCCTCCGCGAGCGCATGTAAGATCCTCTATATGAAGCATGAATGCGCAAGAAAAACTGAGCTTCTGTAAGAGAAGCGAAGAGTTGTGATATTTCATATATACAAGGCGAGGATCCCGCAGTTACTTAACGATAGCTTTAAATTTTATTTTGCATCCCGAAAGGACGAAATTACCATACCAATACCGGACAAACTTGCACGGATATATCAAGTTATTTTCTTTTGTGAATGGATTTATATGCCGTGCATCTCCATTACGACACTAGCTTGTTTAATAAATGTTCTCGTCTGGAAGTTTTTTTAATAGTATGATTTTGGGGCCCATCTCGAGATCTTTTTGGCAACCTTCAAAATAATTCTCAAAGTCATATGCACATAGCATTTTCAAGACGACCTAACGTTTTCGAAGTAAACAACTAAACTTATAAACTTGTTTTGAGCTGCTCTTGTACTTATAAGGAAATTTCTTATTTGGTAAAACCAGCTTATTAATAACAAATTATTTCCGGTTTTTCTTGCGTAATTGAAGATATACCTCATTAACATTTGCATACGTAAACATTTTCCATGACGCTGAAATAATGTTTAGTGTGAAGAGTGTGTAGTGTGCACGTTTAATGGTTAAGTAGCGTTTGCCACAACACTAAACATTTACCAAGSGTTAATGTTATTTCCTTACAAAAAYAATTTCATTCGAGAGCGAATATATTACTTGAATAAATTCAAAAATGATGTTTGTTTATTTTCCGTCGAGACATCTAAATCCAGACAATGACAGAAAAGAAGTGATATTCTTTGCTTCGTTTTTCTAAATATTTTTAATAGCCCTCTGTATGTGTGAACATTGTTATTTTTTCTGGTAGAAACCCCCAAATATTTCTTTTCAGTTTAGTGTTCGTTTGTGACGAATACGAGCGTGACATCATGAATAATTGAGAACAAAGTGTTATTTGTATGCCCAAAGATGGACATATATGAAAAATTAGTGTCGTATGGTAGTTTTTGCGTAAGATTGTAGCAAAATCAGTTAGATAATTCGACGAAAATACACATGATAGCAGTTAGCTGGTCTATAATGGCTATATATACCGGAGTTTCAGCTCGCTTTGCAGTGAAGAGTCAGAGAGCCAAACAATCAAGTGACAAGTGTTCAAACCAAAACTTACTAACTCGTCGTTCAAAGAGCTATCAACATGGTCAAGTCAAACATAAAATGCGATGATTCMGTCCAGCCTACATTTTTCAAAATGACCAAAGGGAAAAAGGAAYACAGGTACATCATCTTCAAAATTGAGAACAACCAAGTTGTCGTCGATAAAACTGGAGATCGTGACAAAACTTTCCAAGACATGATAAACGATCTTCCAACGATGAATGCTGCTCGATATGTCGTCTTCGACCTAACTTATCGCACCAAAAGTGAGAATCAGCTTCGAGAGAAGATCGTCTTTCTGAGTTACTGTCCAACCAGTGCTGAAACAAGAGACAAAATGCTCCATGGAAGCACATATCTCGAGCTGAAGAACAAGCTTGGAAGTTCTTTTATTCGCTTGTCGAAGCAATACGATGATCTTGTTGACATAGATGAAGAAGATATCAAGGATGACATGGCCACCAAAGGGTAGACATTCTGTATAAATGTGAGCGTGCACATGAGCTTGCAATATGAACACTTTCTTGCACTTACGCTTACTGTAGAAAGAACATTTGAAGAGTAATTTAAGTAGTTTGCATATTATCATGATCAAAATATAGCTGAATATTGTGATCCATCGCCTATCGCTTTTGTTGTATTGTATTGTATTGTTTACAATACTTTATGATAATGTGTATGTTACATTCAGGGTTTTTCCCTTTTTCCATCGGATTTATATCATGGCACAATTCAGAAAACTTTTTATAATTAATTAATGTTGTGTTATTAAACATGGTTTTTTCACCGAATGACAAAGGAAAAAATTCACTAGAAATTTCACAAATGTAGCTAGTATTTAATAGTAACTTGTATTTGCTATAATTATATTTGTATTTTTAAACAATAAACTTAGATGTAAATGTCAATATACTTTTATGGTACTCATTTAAATTTTCCCGGCTTAGTTTAGTAAAAACATTCGTCATGATTCACTTATTCAGATGTCAGAAGGGCCGTTTGGGGAGGAAAACGCAAGTGTCGGACGCAGGACCGTCCGAAAATCAGGCTAAAATATACCATACGTTTGAAAAAAATTAGTACTTTTTCCTGCAATTGTTTTCTGCTGCTGGTGAGGTTTTGAGAGATGAACGCTTCAATTTGTTTTCTTTATTACGTTAGTACATGACAGTAAAACATGTTTGATCATCTTATTATGATTTATCATATAATTATCTATGAATACCTGATATTTCTCCATTTCGTGTAAAGTGAAAATAACACATTCGAGTTTTCTTTGTATAGGGGAATTTTAATTTTAATTTTACAGTGTATTTTAAGGTTTTTTTCTTTTCAGGCCCGTAGGCTGCCTTACAAATGGGGGTGAATTTCTTTTTCGGACCTATAAATTCAATGTTTAACTAAATTAGCTCAATGCAATAGGCATAGTGTGTAAGAACTGGCTGCTAGAATGAGCAGTTCATAACAAAATACATTTCATAACAAAATAATTTTATAATAGAACAATGAAAAAAGAGAAACACCGGACTTTAAGCTTGTGCGGGGCTCACTCGTAAGAGATCTTTTCAACACTCGAAGATAAAATCCGTATCTCCACGCGCCCATGTAATATCCTCTATTTGAATAATGATGTCATATTTAATGTTAGTAAATCATATACAAAAAATAAGGAATTTCAAAAACAAAAACAAACACACAACARCAAACAAACAAAACTGCCCCTGCTACAATCTTGCAGTCACCGCCGGAATCAAATGGCCAMAACAAAGAAAGGTTAAAACTGAACTACATTTGCTAAACGTACGGTTTGTTAGTTAACCAAGTGACCATAGAAAATACTGACATGAAGTTTTGCTTATGTTGGTTTTGACTCTTCAGGTGACAGGTTAGACATGTCTGACTGTAAAAATCAATATATGCAAGGAAGAAAGAGACATTATTTCCCTCAGTAAAATTGTTTGAAGAATAGAAAAATTCTGCATGAAGTATTTAAAAATTAGTGGGATTTCACAACAAAGGATAYTCCCAAAAAAGGCTTTAGCTTCAATGGATAATTTTTGTATTTTTATTTCCATATTCATTTCCTTGTTTTTATTTTTCGCTTTTGATATAAAGTAAATGCATCTAATATATAAAGTTTTATAAAGTAAAAATACCTCGCATTTGCATTAAATCTGAAACTGAGCCTGAACTTCTTTTGAGYCAMMATTATTCTTGGTTTGCACCATTTGGAAAGCAAGTACGAAAAGCGTGAAATATAGTCATTTTYAACCGTCCGTGAAACAATTACTACTAGTCAGTGTTTAATAGTAACTATTAGTGTGTAGTAGGCTACCAAAAGGCAAAAAACCGTGTTTGCCTAATTACTTTGTCGCATGTCATAAGTTAAACTATTGGGAGCTAATAGGGGGTAATAGTATTTAATAGTACAATTATGGAAATAACTCGAATTTAGATTAGCTATAGAAAAAAAAGGAATTCAGATAATTTAGTACAATTTAGGACTATTTGATTACACAAGTTTCCCATGGTTTTAGATTTTGCACTGTTCTATAAATTGCACAAGAAAAGTACAAAAACATTATGACAATTTCACGCGTCAATTATATCTAATCTATCACCAAACAGTAACATAAAAGAATGGATTTAAAATACATTCTCTTCAAGAAAATTTGATCATTTTATGATAATCGTTTTGTATTCGAGTTGAATCAGAATTTTTGYCTAAGYTCGTATTGAGCTACTTGAAATKATTRGCACTACAAAATTCATCAATGCATGGCTGGTCGAGTCAATTACCCAAACTGGACAAGCAAATAAGAATATTGCAAGTTCTTGATTCTGTCATCTATTTGAAAAAGGTACCATTTATTCCTTTTTTGGCAGATTACTTCTTATTTTTCTCTTTGATTAAAAACTACTGTCGTTTGAAAACAAGTCAAGTCATGCTTTCAAAAAGCAAACATTGGATCGAGGCTCTAGGTTCATCGCGAAAGAATTTGAAATGATAGATAGGCAACTAGACATAGCAATGGGAGTCTGGGAGCTGTAAAAMGTCTTTTTAGCGTTGGAAATGAGGTTAAATCTGTTACTGTTGGCCATTACGCTTCACTTTGGAYGGTGTTTGTGCAACGAAGAGGCTGAGCAAACCAAATTCGCCAATTCCTGGGCTGTTCATGTGGACAGTTTGGATCATGACAGCGTGGATAAGATCGCTACGAAACATGGTTTTATAAACAGAGGGCAGGTAGGAAGAATCAACAATCCAGTTAAAGTATGTCACCTTTTGSTGGGAAATCACAAATTATAATTATTCTTAAAATAAAAAGTTTTACTTGAGTTAAAAAGGGAGGATTTTTTAAAAGGGAAGTTTATTTATTGTAAAATATGATGTAGATTTGATCTGTATTTGATCGGCTTGTTTATATTTCTGTACCAGTAAACTCAGTGAGCCGACCCAATGCGCCAAATTGATTTTCTAAGAACTTTCAGTAGGCAGTGCTTGTTCAGCGCGTTATAGTGTTAAAGTTATTGATCAGATTTGATGATAAAGTTAATTTTGTTCGGAAACTACCGCTCAATTTCATTCAGTGMGCTTTAATGAAGCTTATTCACCGTCGCCATCATGGAATCATAATGTTTTGAAAAAAGTGACAAGTGGCATGTTGTCAACAATTGAATTTTTTTTTTTTTTTTTAAATTCTATTTTTTTCTCTTCCTGAAAGTTATAATGTTCTTTCAGCAGGGGATATTTGAACAGTTTTAAACAAAAGTTTCATTGGATTTATGTCAAGTCTAGATATATACTGTTAGGATCAGGTTCTTGTTTATTCACTATACATGTAGATCACTTGTCGAAAAGGGTTTTGCCATCTCTGACTGACTCTTTGACTAGTGACGGAGGGTGACAATGGCGTGAAACGGCTGAAAAATTAGCCGTGAGTCGTGAAAAAGCCACATACATTAAGAAAAAATGAAGAACAGGGATTTCATTTGGAAAATGAGACCTTACAACCAGGACGGGAATTCATTCAGAACCCCTGTAAACCGGCCACCGAATGAACAGTCAAAAATGGCCGTACTACTAAACGGGTAGCCTTAAGGAGGCGTTCTATTGTTTTAACGCTAAGGATTATATTCGCCAGACTTGATCAGATTGACTAAATAACAAATAAAATGTACATGGCCAATTTTCGATACATGACATATATCAGAACACAATGCAAAGTTGTACTTTAGATATAAATGACTCCAAATTTCCACTGTTTTTATGCATATCTTTCCCAGGTGTAAAAATACTTTGATGTCATAATGAAAAAGAGCAATTCCTGATACAAAATCTATGAAGTCATCTTGATACTTTTATCAAGACAATAATTAATTTTATCAAATTGACAATTTCAATTATTACAACTTAAAAGTTGTCATTATTAGAGACAGAAATAATGAAAATCTAATTAATAAAGTGCTTAGAAGGAGGTTATTCCGAGCAAAAGACCCTTGTAAATATATTCGAAAGATTAGAATTTCCGACCTCGATGGGATTTCGACCCTCGGATTTGCAGGAGGAGCCGACGTGGTCTGTTCTTCTAAATAACTGTTCTTGTACGAATTTTGTTCTGGGAAAGGGATTTTGAGCTACATTGTTTACAATCTCACAAGCACCTGTGGCACCCCCCCCCCTTTTTTTTTGCTCCTGGCAAACGTTTTCTTAAGGTCAAAAAAGGTTTATATAACGTTTTTATGGTCAAAAATGGCTTATATTGTTTTTTTAGTTAGGAAAGTTTTAGTCTCCTAGCAAAAATTATTAGAAAGTATTCCTTGCCTGGAGAATACTTTTTTATCCTGAATTTCTCGTTGGCAACTAGTTGTGACTTACAGCTGTCTGGGACATAAGAACAGGATATATTTCTCCCAGGAACCCGTCGGCTCCTCCTGGATTTGTACTACCGATACATCTTACAAGGAGCTACAAGGTCAGACTTGGAGCAGGTCGGGGTATATGAAATAGATATAGTAGAGACAAACATTAATTTCAGTTTTAAACTTCTGCTCAAACCATACAGATTGGCAAACATCATGGCTATTATCTATTTGAACGAAAACAACAAGACCGCAGAAGGGAAAGACGAGACGTCGATGACCATACAGAACTACTAATGACCGAGCCAAAGGTATAGTGGCATAACCTACACAACTTAGATATAACACGAACTGCTATTGGTTGAATACTTGGAAGAGCCTTGTGGCAAATCAAAGAACTGAGTTATTTCAAGGARAATTACAACATGGTTAAGTGATTTTTCTCAGCTTATCTGTTCTACGATTTTCATCTTTGACAATGTATTTTTTTCCATTGAAATCATGTGCACAAGTGTTTTTACGATGGCATAGCCCTCTATTTTGGGTGGTTATTGTCTTTGAACATCTACATGTATTTTAGATCCAAGGACTATATTTCCTTAGCTCACAGCGTCACAATGAATTAGGCATAAACAAACAACATTTTTACGATTATGATTGTGCGATATTTCTGCATATTTACCCGAAATTGCCGCTAATTGATAGAGATCTCAACCCGGGGGGGGAGGGGGGTACTCGACCCCGTTTTGGATAGGTACGTGCCGCGAGAAGCGGTCTAAATCCCTGACCCTGTTTAAGACACTAAAAAGTAAAAATCCATACCCTGTTCAAGACAAATCGGAAAAATAAGGAATAGCTATCTACGCCGCAACCATCAAAACTGCAATTATACTGACATCCATCAAAGACAAGTTTTTGATAACACGTTAATTCTGGGACAGTGAAACGGTGTTATGAAAATATCACCCTGTCCAAGACACACACAAAAATTATCGCTGTCTTTTATCTAAATTGTAGATCCTGTTTAAGACAATTTCGGGTGAAATGTATACCCTGTTTAAGACAGCAAGGTCAAAAACCATACCCTGGCCAGCGGCACGTCCCCGTATAGCAAATATATAGGAGTACCTCCCCCCCTCCCCCCCCGGGGATCTCAACTAGAATGATTTAGTATGATTATGAGTTGCATGAATTAGTCTCGTCCTGGTTAATCTTCCTATCTGCTCCCATTTCCAGGTAAACTGGGCAGAGCAACAACGCATTCTTGAAAGAAGTAAACGTAACGTAATATCAAGCGAGAGTAGAACGTCACGAGACAAGCGTGACATGGCCGTTAGTATCCAGGACCCTTTTTACAAGGATCAATGGTACTTGGTAAGAAGAACGATCGCTCTTAACAGGGAGAAATTTAAGAAAAACATAAAGAAGTCAGCATATCTTGCAAGATTGTTGCTGTTCACATTTAGCTTCAATGTTTCTAGTTTTTCATGGCCTGTTTGTTCGATGTTTTTGTTTGCGCGACAAGTTGCCAGTACTTAGGCAAGGTGTAAAACGAGAAACATTGACTCCATGCTGGAACAGCAACATTTTTTCCTAGACATAAGGCGTTTTCTTAATTTGGATTTCTGGGCCTATTTGATCATTATATGATTAACAAATCGTATTCAAATTGCTTTGACGCCATTTTCTTGAACAAAGACTTGACACGAATTTTCAATAGTCCTCTTCTGTTTTTATACCCACTAAAAGAGTCCTATATTAAGTTTTTGTTTTTATTCTCAAAAGCAGCAAAGATACTTGAAATGTCACTTTCCGCTTTTATTCTAGCAAAACATTGGTCAGTCATCAGGACCATCTGGTTTGGATATCAACGTTTTGCCTGTCTGGGGTCGTGGATTCTCCGGACAAGGAATAGTTGTATCAATACTTGATGATGGTTAGTCAAATAACTGCCCTCTCATAATTTAATAGTCCCAGGGATGAGGAAGAGGGGAGGGGGAAGGTGGGGACGGGTACTCCCCTATATTTCCTATATGGCGACGTGGGGACGTTCCGCCAAATGAGGTGTGGTGTCTTCAATTGGGTATACAATCGACCGTCAGTTATGTTTTCCATGTCTTATACAGCGTTTCAATATTTCATTAGTAGACTATCAAGTCAAAAGAAGAAAATAATATCACATTGAGGGACGTCATATCCGACTAATCAGAAATCGAGAAAAATTACATGCATTCACTGGAAAAAATCGCGCGCCATAAAGGTTGTACATTTGATGTAAATATGATATAATTGTCCAAAATGATTGATTTACATCAAATTTACATCATTTCGGACACTTACATCATATATACATCAAATTTACAACCTTTAAAGCGCGCGATTTTTCCAGTGATTTGTGGAAAAAGTAACCGGTTTTCGTTTATTATCAAATAGGAGTTGACCACACTCACCCAGATCTGCGGAGGAACTACGTAAGTGCTTTGAAAATAATCACTCACATCAAATAATTGATTGCTTAGTAAGAAATTCATGGAGTTTAYATCCATATTTGGTAATCTTACCTTATTTGGAAGTCAGAATACASAAAGCATGTTTCAACAACTGAACGTTTATAAAACAAAACTTGTAAACGATCGCAAAGATTCATGGATGCACGTGGGAATTTAATAAATGCCTGGTATTGCTACCTAAAGGTTTGAAGACCTCACATTTGCAATACCAGTAAATACCGCAAGGACATGGCTTTCAAGATTACAAATGGATTCATGGATTGGTCACGACCGTCAATATTACTTATGCTAATTTATTTGATTTAGGATCCAAATGCAAGCTTCGACTTCAACGACTTTGATACYGACCCATCACCAAGAACGACAAATCCTTTGAACCGGTAAATCAATCAACAGAATATTTTACAAATATCGAGCGCTGATTGTTTGGTAATATAGAGTGTGTCGATAAGACGGCAGACAACTGACACCGTCAAGTCTCACGTGACCAGCATTTTACGATAGTCCCCATGATGATTTCTGAATACGCCTTTTTACCGTTCAAAGCGAACAACCGCTGTTTTAGTTGACAAAAGTCCCTCATGCTCAGAGACCTCATCAAAAATAAAAGAAAGCACGAAAAAATGTTGTTATTACAATTTCCCTATAAAATTGCATTTTCTCCGATTCTGTATTCCCAGAAGGTTCAAACTCTTGCTCAGGCTAAGCCTCAAATCGGAGAAGACTCAAATTTCTAGAGCTATTGTAATGTCAACAGTTTTTTTCGTGCTTTCTATGTTCTTTACTCAAAAAGTGAGTCTGTTGTCTACTAAAAACAGTTCGCTCGCCTGAGAAAAGGCTTATTGTTATGCCGAATATAACACCGTCGACTAAAATACCATCTTTGATATAAATTCTCTTGTTAGCCATGGAACGAGGTGTGCTGGGGAAATAGCTGCAGAGGCCAATAATGGTATTTGTGGTGTTGGTGTATCATTCAATGCAAGCATCGGGGGTAAGTATACTTTCAG